GGCACGCTCATGGCCACCCCAGTGTCAACCTGCTGGACTCTGGAGATCCTTCCGCCTCAGCCTTCCAAGTAGCCAGAACTACAAGCGTGCACTACCATGCCCAGATAATTTTATTTATTTATTTATTGTAGAGACGAGGTTTCACCATGTTGCCCAGGTAGGTCTCGAACCCATGGCTCAGGTAATCCTCTCGCCTCAGCTTCCCGAACTGCTGGGATTATAGGCTTGAGCCACCACGGCCAGTCAGTATCTCTTTTTAAAACTCAGCTCCTGGGGCTTACCCCTCGGCTCTCAAGGGTGGCCTGCACTGTCCCGGCATTATTCTACTTTCTGGCACTTGTGATGCCGCCCCTGGCATGAGGGCAGCTGTGGATGGTGCACTGTTGCACAGAAGCTTCCTGTGTGCTATGGAACTTTCCACTGTATGTGAGGTCTACAGTCTGGCACAGGCACACCTGTACACACAATCACTCACTTTTACCCCACAGCATATGATGTTCTCATCTAGAAGCCAGTTAGGCTTTGTTATTGTTAAGTAAACTGTCTCCTTTGATAATTCCATCGTCAACACAGCAGTTTTGACCTATTGATAGGTCAAAAGAATTCCTGGTTATAGGCCCAATGAGGTCTGCTCTTGGCTGCAATGCTTTTCCTACCATCGCCTGGGGCGGGGACACGTCTAGGACCACCTTCTTGGAGTCAAGGCAGGAACAAACTCTAAATCTGTAGAGGTGCTGACTGCCATTGGGCCACCTCTGAACACACTAGTTTCTTAATGGTCTTTGGTGGCTACTGTCCTGCCCACACTCAAAGGAATAACCTGCAAGTTAATCTTAAAAGGGTGACAGCAGTCATTACATTCCCTGCCCAAAAATCCAGCTCAATTTTTAACTTCCTGGCCAAAGAATGACTCAAACTAGTAACAATCATTACTTCTTCAATGGTAAGCAGGAAGAGAGGATGGGCGCGCTGTACTTGACGATCGTCCTGCAGAATCAGACCCGTTCCTCTCCACTGGCTGCACAGGAGGCAAGAAGCCGCTTCCCCCAGAGGAGGAAGAGCAGAAGAGCCGTGCATGCCCTGGCCACCGGAACTGTCTTCAGGGGACCCTGGCACCTTAACAGCTGTCCTACATTCGCCTCTTCTCTTTATCAGCTCTGGCACTTTAAAAGGTATTTTTTAGGGAAAAAAAATTTTTAACAGATACACTTTAAGATTTTATTATTTCCAAAACGTATATTCTCACACTGCTTGTGGGACATGCCAAAACACATCCTTCATGCAACAAGCCATTCCCCTCATCCTAAGGGGCATAGCGAAACCCACTGTCAGGACAAGCCCTTATTCCTCACAATAGCATCCTGTGACCTCTGCACAAGTCCTAAGTCCTTTCTTGGCTCTACAGCCATTGCAAATAAACCCTAACTGGAAGGAACTGAAGTCCCAATTCCCAGTCCTGGAGGAAGTTCTCGCCTCATCATAAATTCTCCCTCACATCCAGAGAAGGACAAAGGGACTCCACTACCACAGTAAGAGCAAGTCAAAATGCTCTGGTCCACCACTAAGAAGCATGTCAAATGCGTTTTAACTCTGTAGGTCACCTTCACACAAGCTGCTCGAAAAGAACCCCCCACACAAGACACCAGCATATGTGCTGATGCCGGTGACCTGTCAATGCACACCCACAACCCGTCCTGAGAGCAGGGTTGCTGAGAGGAAGGCCAGCATGGCAGGCAGCTCTGACTGTCATGAATCACCCCTCACAGGCACGCAGCCTAAGAGCAGCACGGAACTCACTACTTAAAGGCACCTTCAAATAACTCACATGACTCCACTTTCTCATCATTCAAGGCCTCTCCTTTCATCCCTCTTTTCCTTCTTCCTGCTGTGCATGGTATGTGGTCCCCAATCCTCCCAAACAACAGTCAACTGATCAAGAGAAACACAGAGCCAAGTCACTCTGAGTCTGTTGCTGAGGGAAGGTTTCAATGAAGGGAATCACCTTTCCTGTCGGTCCCTGCTGTGCCAGAGGCCCTTGGTAGGGAATGCAGCTCCCAAACTGTGATGGCCCACTTGGTGAGGGGCAGGTGCTGGGCTCAGTGCCTCTCGGCCCCTCTCCCCTTTGGGCACCATCAGCTCAACCATGCTTTCTGCTTCCACGACAGAGCAGGCTGATGTCTCACGGGCCACCCAGTCCAGCTCTCATCCAGCCACAGTGAGGATACTGGCTGGAAGCTCATAGAAGTCACCTACCAGCTATGACCCCTGGGAACCAGGCTCTGGAAACATTCTGGAATGTGGAAGAAGAGCCTGCCTTCATTAAAATAAACACAATTTCCCAAGCCACACTGAATCCCAGGCCACAATGATCCAAAGGTTTTTTCTTATTTCTATCATTTTCAAATAAAAATTTCGGGAAACTTCCTAGGGAAACTCAGTCTGCTCTCTCAGTAATACTGCTGTCTAGAAGTTCAGAAGCTTACAGTGGCTGTAGCTTTGCTCTAGTAATAACAATAACAGCTGTGATCGGGCCAGGTGCCACACAGGTATCATCTTACACATTCCTCTAACACCCGACCTGAGAGACCCCTGTGCTGACAGATGAGGAAGCTGAGGTGTAGAGATCACATGCTGTACCTGATCTGACAGGAGCCTTAAATTCTAGTTCCAGCACTAAACACAGTTTCACAGCAAAGTCATTCTGCCGCCCTTAACTCCTCCACTTTAGCCTGTGCACGAGGCTGTGTGTGGAGCAGGAATTATGTACCTGGCTCACCTGGCCCCGGCTCAGGGACTAGTTCTCGGCACCAAAAATAATACACACTGCCCGACAGATGGTTTTTCCTGACCATTTCTTTCCCTGTAATTAGTCTTTAAAAAGTAACGAGAAAAATAATTACATCTAATTACAAATTTCACAAGTTGCCTTCACTGGGTGATCCCATAAAAGCTTAGAGATGTGGTCAGTATGCTCAGTACATGGAGCAGGAAACCACCAGTCCCAGCACAGCTATTCTCAAGCTTTGTGCATTTAATAGGGAAATGTAACTTAAAGTATAAAATAAGGACTGGTTAGCTGAACACTGCCAAAGTGAATAATAAAAGATTATTACTCAAAAAAAATCTCCTTATCAGAAAGTAAAAAGTGAAAGTGGTTCTCCAACTTTGGCTAAAGCAGGGGAGACAGAATATCTGAGACTTTCAAAATTTCTAGAAACTCCATGTCCCACTCACATCAACTTTAAAAATTCTTTGTTAAAAGGTGTTGCAGCTGGACTCAGTGGCTCACCCTGTAATCCCAGCGCATTGGAGGCTGAGGTGAGTGGATTGACTGAGCCCACGGGTTCGAGACCTGCCTGGGCAACTTGGCAAGACCTCATCTCTACAATAAATCAGAAAATTAGCCGGGCATAGTAGCGCACACCTGTAGTTCCAGCTACTGAAAGGCTGAGGCAGAAGGATCGCCGGAGCCCAGCTGGTCAAGGCTGCAGTGGCCGGGAGCAGCCTCTGCATTCCAGTCTGGGTGACAGAGTGAGACTCCAACTCAAAAAAGAAAAAAAAAAAGTGTCGCAACCAAAAAAAAAAAAAAAAAAAATCTAACCTGGAGAAACATGAATTAAGAGGGCCAACTACGCCACCATAAAAGAATACAGGGTCGGGCTCAGTGGCTCAGCCTGTAATCCCGCTCCTTTGGGAGGCTGAGGGAGTGGATTGCCTGAGCCCGCGGGTTCGAGACCTGCCTGGGCAGCGAGACCTCATCTCTACAATAAATCAAAAAATCAGCCGGGCGTGGTAGCGCATGCCTGTAATTCCGGCTACTTGGAAGG